CAGCCCACCCTTACCCAGCCCACAGTGGGGCAGCGCTCACCTGACAGGGGCACTTTCACGACCTTGTTGCCGTTGGCGTGCTGAACTTGGCACGTGAGGAAGTCATCGGAGCCCTGGAGCACGTCCACGGAGGCCAGGAGCACCTGGGAGGTGGCCACGTACTTGCCCCCCCGCAGGACCGAGGGGAAGGTCTTGATGTCCCTGGTGCTCACGTCACTGCTGTTCTTGTAGTTCCAGGAGAAGGTGATGGAGCCGGGCAGGAAGTCCTGGGCCAGGCAGCCCATGGCCACCAGGCTCTCATCGGACAGGGGGCTCTCACAGGACACCAGGGGGTAGAGATTTGGAGGGGACGAGCTCTCTGAGGACACAAGAGGGGACAGACAGAATGGGGGGTGGTGAGGAGAGCGCCCTAGGTTGGGATGGGCCCCGCTGTCTGCCCCTGGTGCTCTGTGGCTGCCCCTTGGGGCTGAGCCCACCACCGACTGCCTGGACGTGACTGACAGCACGGAGGGTGGTGCAGTGAGGCCCGGGGTCCTGGTACAGGGGTGCTGGGGGTGTGTGGGGGCCCAGCTCTGCTGCATGGGAAGACAACGGGTTTTTGCTTCCTGTTAGGAGGGTAGAGCTGGCCTCTCACCCTGGCACTGTCCTTGCACACAGAGGCCGTTCAGGACGGCCCAGCCCAGGCCCGCTCTGCCTTCCCGCGGACGCCCTGGAGTCACCCTGACACGCAGCCCCGAGCACAGCGAGCCCCTTGAGAGGCAGGTGGCCATGCAGGGAGCCTTGCCAGCTGGCCACACTGGCGCTCAGCCTGCATGTCTGGGGTGGGTGTATATGTGATAAGTGAGCCGGCGTACACTCGGCTTGGCCTGTCCCGAGCCCACTCAGGTTAGGCCTACTTAGCCCACCCAGTCCAGCCCATTTCAGTGGGTCAGCCTTGCTCTGCCTGGGTCAGCGCAGGTCAGTGCACTGTACGCAAGCTCACCCAGCCCAGCTCAGCCTAGCTCAGCCCAGCTCATCCTGCCCAGCTCTGCCTGGCTAAGCCCTGCTCAGCTCACCCAACCCAGTTCATCCAGATCTGCCCAGTGCAGCCCAGCTAAGCGCTGCTCAGCTCTGTCCTGCTCAGCTTAGGCCAGCTCAGTTCAATTCAGCCAAGCCCAGGTCAGCCCGGCTCACCCTTCCCATCTCAACCCAGCTCAGCTCAGTTCAGCCTGGTTCTGTCCAGCTCAGAGTGGCTCAGCCCAGCTCTGCTCAACTCAGCCCAGCTCAGCTTAGCCCAATTCAGCCTCCCCAGACTGGCTCTGACCAGCTCACCCAGCCTAGCTCAGCCCAGCTCAGCCAATGATAGCCAAGCTCACCCAGCTCAACTCAGCCTTGATCAGCCCAGTTTAGCTCAGCTCACCCAGCCCAGCTCAGTTCAACTCAGCCCAGATCACCTAGCCCAGCTCAGCCTGGCTCAGCCCAGAAGAGCCCAGCTCTGTTCAGCTCAGCTCAGCCCAGCTCAGCTCAGATCAGCTCAGCCCTGCTCAGCGTGGCTCACCCTGCCCAGCTCAGCCCAGCTCAGTCTAGTGAAGCTCTGCTCAGTACAGCTCAGCCTGGCTCAGCCCAGAACACCTCACCCTGCCCAGCTCAGCCTAGCTCAGACCAGCATAGCCCAGCTCAGCATAGCTCAGCTCACCAAGCTCAGTTCAGCCCAGATCACCCAGCCTAGCTCACCCAGCTGTGCCTAGCTCAGCACAGCTCAGCTCAGTGCAGCTCAGCCCGGCTCAGCCCAGCTCTGCTCAACTCAGCCCAGTTCAACTAAGCACAGCTCTCCTAGTGCAGCTGAGACTGTCTCAGCCAAGGTCTGCCCAGCTCAGCCCAGGTTAGGTCAACTCAGCCCAGCTCAGCCTGGCTCAGCCCAGCCCAGCCCAGCTCAGCTCAGCGCGGTCCAGCTCAGTGTAGCTTGGCTCACCCAACTCAGTTCAGCCCCACTCAGTTCAGCTCATCTCAGCCCAGCTCAGCCTAGATCACCCAGCTCAGCTCACCCAGCTCAGCCCAGCTAAGACCAGCTCAGTCCAGTGAAGCTCTGCTCAGCTCAGCTCACCAAGCCCAGCCCAGCCCAGTGCAGCTCAGCTCAGCCCAGCTCAGCCTGGCTAAGCCCTGCTCAGCTCCGTCCTGCTCAGTTCAGCTCAGCCTGGCTCTACCCAGTTCAGCCCAGCCCAGCCCGGCCCAGCTTAGCCAAGCTAAGCCCAGCTCAGCCCAGCACAGCTCAGCCCAGTTTGGCCGAGTTCCGCCTGGCCTGCCCGTCTCAGCTCAGCTCAGCTCATCTCAGCCCAGCTCTGCCCAGCTAAGCTCAGCCCGGCTCAGCGTGGCTCACCCTGCCCAGCTTAGCCCAGCTCAGCTCAGTGCAGTTCAGCTCAGCTCAGCCTGGCTCACCTAGCCCAGCTCACCCAGTCCAGCTCAGCCCAGTGTAGCCGAGCTCAGCCTGGCCTGCCCAGCTCAGCTCAGCCCAGCTCATCTCAGCGCAGCTCAGCCCAGCTCAGGCCAACTCAGCCCAGCGCTGGCCAGCTCAGTGCAACCCAGAGCAGCCCAGTGTAGTTCAGCTCAGTGCAGCTCAGCTCAGTTCTGCCTGGCCCGGCTCAGCCTGGCTCAGCTCAGTAAACTCAGTCTCATGTGATTTAGTCCAGTGCAGTGCAGCTCTGTATTGTCCTGAAGGCCCAGTGGTACTGGCCAGAAAGGTGCCAGAGCACCAGACCCACCTGCTTCATTAGTCCTCTCACCCAGGGATAATTAAAGCAGGGCTGGGCTCAGGCTGGGGCATCCCTGCCGTCTCCACCCTCCCACGCCCACTGGACTTTCTCCAGTGGAAGCTCGGATCCCCAGTCCCTGACCAGTCCCACTGGCCTCTGGCTCCCAGGAAGTATCGATCACAGACATCCTTCAGCTTATTGGGTAAAATACTTCCTGGCAACTTAAATTCCTTAAGACATCTGCAAGGACTGTGTGGGGGTTTGCTACCATCAGAGCAAAAAGCCTGTCTCTGCTTTACAACTGGCAGCTCTCTCCACAGAGCCCTCACTTTCCTGGCATATACCCTCAGCCACAATTGTCCCTTCTGAGCCCAACGTAAGCCCCTGACTTCAACCGAATTCCCTCTAGATAAAAGTCATCATTAAAATGACCAGGAAATGGGTTTCATCTGAATTTGCCATGCAGTCCTGGTGTCGCAAATCTCTTTGCAAGGGGAGCCTACTTGGAGGTGAGCAACAATTATCTAAGATCGGAAGCTGTGTTTAGCGCCCACGTGAAGACAAGGGCGCTTTGCTCTAAAGCGTCAGGAGCAACCACTAGCTAAAGAACCAGAGAGCAGCACCGCCACCTTCCTCGGAATGACCTTCAGGGGAAGTCACACGCGAGGGACCCAGACCAAAGCTGCTCAAGGGCTTCGCACAAGTGAGTCCCAGCCTCCACTGAGCGGGCCTCAGAGTCCGACTCCCGTTCAAGCAGAAACAAAGCATCCCATCGACCTTTCCGGAGCAGCGAATTCGGCCGTTTCTCTCTTACCATTTGGGGTGCCCGGTCACTGGAAAGTCCCGTGGGGTTTTGGCGTGGAAGAATTCCTCCAAATCCATGAAAAACGGCAGATTGAAGCTCAGCTGGCTGGCCTGGTGGCAGAGGCCACGGCTACACATGCCCAGCTGGAGGGAGGACCAGGAGGCCCCCGGGCACGGCGGGCCTGGTGGGACCGGCTTCCAGGCCCTCCTCTGAAGAAGCCGGATTCAGGGTTCGCAGCAGAAACCACCCTCCCAGGTGCTCCGAGTCCCTCTCTGATTTGACTTCTGACTGAGTTTCCCCTCAATCCACCAACTAATGTGTTTAACTGAAGTAATTCAGGAAAATCACACACATTTCACCTAAAAATTGTCCTGAGATGAAGACTTGAAAAGCAGTCTCAAAAAATGCTGAAACGGAGGCCCTTTATTGCAATATCAACATGTTTCTATGTAGCGAAGGGAAAATTGGCTAGCTTAAAAATTGGGAACATGGTCACTATAAAAACAAGACTTCAGGGCTGGCGAAAATGGTTTGAGATTAATCACAATTTGAAGGAATAACTAATTAATGAAAGTTATATGAAAGCATCGATAAATTGATTAATTTCGTAAACATCTTACTGTGAAACATCTTATTTTGAAAATATTTATAGATTTGAATTTATAAATAAACACTGAAAAATTTAAATTCTAGTGGTTAAAAAAGGAAACTTTCCGTTTCTGGCAGCACTTTGGGCTTCTTTAGAAATGCAAATTACCCAGGTGTTGTTTTGCTCAGTGGAAGCTTTCAGACATGTCCCTGGGCAAAACCGCCTGAAAACCACTCTTCATAACTATAAGCTATGTTTGTCAGTCGCGTTTCCTGCTCCCTAAAATAGACGCTCGCGGTGGCCTGCGCCTGCCACCCGCTGCAGGTGTCTGCCCTGCCCTCCGCCACCTTGCCTGGCTCACAGCATCCACAGAACATCTCAGCCCATCAGAAAACAAGCCTGATTCACCCTTGTCACACCTGAGCCCCGAGAGGGTGACGGCGGCACCATGGCACCATTTCTTGGCTGAAATGGCGCAATACCAACTTCAGGAAGGCAGGATTCGTGGTTGTTCATTGAATGATAAGATTAGAATATATAATACAGTTGAAAATATACTGAAAAACAGGACCTTTGAAGTTACAGTTTTCTTGACCATTTTCCTCAGGAGCCGCTCCAAAGGCATCCTGTCTTTTAATGCTCAGGGAGCACGTCTCTCAGGAGGAGCGAGTCATCCTCTCGGGGGGCCACCCTGTCCCGGGGAGCCGAGCTCCCACAGACTGCCCGGGTGAGCCCTCCCAGGGGCCGGAGCACCCCACTCTCACCAGGCCTGGGGGAGAACTGCTTGTCCCTCTGCCCCCAGACAGTTATCTTCCTGGCCAGTAAGGAATTTTAAATACAACCTGACAGAACATGACTCAAAACCCTGGAGAAAACCCTTCTCTCTGAGCTCCTGGGTGGGGCAGCCACCCAGCACACCCCACAGGCCAGCGCTGTGACTCTGACATCAAGTGTCTCCCCACAGCGCTAACGTGCTGTGGCCCCTTGTCCCCCCACGGCCCTTCCTGCCTCCCATTTTTTCATGGGATGGGTGACTCCATGAGGCCTGCCGGCATTCTTCTAATTTTCAAAAGCACCATAAAGTCAAGAGGCCCTGGAGTCCCTAAGGCACCCAGTCACATTCCTGCCTGACCAGCCTGTGCAGGACCCTGAGGGACACGTCCCCAGGACCAGCTTGGAAAGTCCCATGAACAGGAGAGAAAATACAGGCCCTGGAGGGGCTGTTCTTACCTGAGCTGATGCTGACCTGGGTTCCAGGTCCCCACACGTCCATACCATAGTAATCACAGTGGCATAATCTCCTTCCTCAACCCTCCAAAACCAGGGCACAGTTGGGCACTGCGCAGACCCATGGGGACTTGCACTGTCCCCAGGAGCCCCATGGAGCCTCCCTCAGAAACCAGGCACCAAACTGACTGCCCTAACTGGGACTCAGAAGTCCCATCTGCCCTGACGACCACTGCCCCAGAGATTCAGAGGCGGCGAAGCCCGCAAAGCAGCAGCCAGGGAAGGTCCTGATGAGGCTGGAGGGGATGGCCAGCTGCCAAAGGGGCCGCCTGGTCCCCACACTGCAGCCGCCCCTGGGACTGGGCACGTCTGTCTCAGCCGCATTCAGGGGGACCCTCTCCGTGGCTCAGATTCCCAACCTCTAGAATGCCTTAGTGTCTCAACAGGGATGCCCTGACTCCCCAGACCTCCCCAAGTGCAGTTGGGGTGAGGGGGAGGCGAGCACCCACCTGAGGTGACGGTGACCTGGGTTCCCGCGCCCCAGATATGGAGCCCACGGTTGACAAACGTGCCAGGACTACCAGCAAGAAGTGGTGCTCGGTGGTGTGTAGGGTCCCCGGAGGCCCCAGGGTGGCTGAGGCCCCAGAGGGTCCCCTGGCTGCCCAGCCTAGGAGTCTGAGACCTCTGTTTCCCATCTGTGTGAGCCATGGTCTCTTCTAGGTCCCTTTCTGGGCCCCTCAGGCTGTCCCTTGTGCTTCCACACCTGAGACCTAGACACCCTACTTTTCACTAAAATGCACCAAAAAGCCTCAGGGAGAAAGCAGGGAAGAGCGCTGGGAGGACTCACCTGGGGAGACGTTGACCTTGGTTCCCCGGCCCCAGAAGTCAAGGTAGTCACATTGTCACAGGCCCACTTAGGGAGTGTACAAAAACCCAGAAATCTGCCTGGCATGGCACACAGCCCCGAACCCTCAGGCCCCCGTGCCCCCGACTCAGAACCCGCTCTGCCCAGCCTGCTATCCACAGGCATGAGCCCTCTCCCCAGAAAGGCCATCAGCAGAACGCAGGCCGAAGGGCCTCAGCAGGAGCCCCACCCCATACAGACCCAGCAACCTCTGGGCATTTCCTTCCCAGCCCTGGACAGAGAGGCATAGAGAAAGCCTCTTACCTGTGGTGACGGTGACCCGGACTCCCTTTCCCCAGTAATGAACAGCATCACACAGGGACACAGTCTGTTCTCCCCACCATGCAAATACTCAGTGCCCAAGCGTGCAGCAGACACAGCCAGGCTCCCCACACCACAGTGTGCAGCAGACACAGCTGCCCCCCTGACCCCACAGGGTTCAGCAGATACAGCTGAGGTCCCTGCCCTAGTGCTTGAAGAAAGCATGGGCATGCTGAGCTGGCACCTGCTGTGGCCACAGAAACCCCGCAGCCAGGGCCCCCAGGGAGCCCCGAGGCCAGGAAGTCAGCTGTCTGCTCCCTCCTGCTGTCAGCTCTGGGTCTGGGAACCACAAAGTCACCTTCTGATACCTGGCTACTCCATGGCTCAGCGTCACTCCCCGCCCCCACCAGGCTGCCCCCAGCACCCCAGGGCCCTGTGCACACCACCCCAGCCCAGGGCCTCTGCGATGGGCCTCTGCCTGAGTGCTGCCCCTCCTCGGTGCACCTGGACGCCCCCCTTCCAGTGTCACCCCTCCCCCTGGTCTGCATGGGGAGTGGGGCAGGTGCCCAGCTGCCCAGGGAGTGCTGCGGGGTTTTTGTAGAGCTGTCAATCACTGTGCTCCCAGGTAGCACTGTGGTTCCCGGCTCAGCCAAAACCCTGAGGCCAGCAGGTGGTGGGGCGGCCACAGAGCCCAGGAGACCCAGTCCTGCAGCCATTTCTGGGTCTGGGCCAAGTTTGTGCTGCCGGGCCTTCTGTTTTAAGGATGCCCTTGTGGTTTCCTTTTCGTTTTACAAATAAAGGCAGGGTCAGGGACTTGTCATTTGGGAGAGGCCTGCCTCAGTGGTGGGGTCAATGCAGTGGCCCCCCCCGAGGTGCCCCAAGGCAGACAGCTCCTGCCAGTGCTGGGTAAAGATGGGGGCATCCCAGGAATGAGTCCCTGCAAGCACCAGGCATGGCATCTGGATTGGTGGGATGGGCTGACCAGAGCTGGGCCCACTGCCCGTGTTTAGCCCACAGCCCCAGTGTTGCGGTGGGGCCCCACCCACTCCAGGACAGGCACCTGGGAAGGCTTCTCCTGGCCTGGCTGCCCTGAGCAGCACTTGGAGATGAGCGGAGGGCTGAACCGCTGAAGGCAGGTGGAGAGAGTCCCCTGGTCCCTTGTTAATGGGGGCACACTTGTGGTTGGTTACTTGTGAAACTAGCCTGTGAGCTAGACGTGGCTCTCTAGCTGGCACAGGGGTGCTGATGTCCAAAGGGAAAGACCGTCGGGTCAGCAATGATGGAAGGTAGGAGGGAACGACATGTGGTCTGCTCACTGAGCCGCTGGAGAAGTCAGAGATGACGCCTGACCTCTGCTTGGGTGGCCGATGCAGTGATGAGCAGGCCTTGCTGGGGTCAGGGAGCTGTTGGTGGGCTCAGCGGTCTCCCCGGCCTCCAGGCCCTGGTGCTCCGGCCTCAGTGACCTGATCCCACCTGGGCTGCTTCCCTAGGACCTGGCACCTTGGTGCAGAACAGTGTCCTTAGCAGGTAACAAGCGTGTTTCTTGTGTTCTGAGGGGAGGGTATCTCTGCACTCACTCCTGCTGGCCTCTGCCATAGAGACCAGGCTCCTGGCTGCTCCACTCCAGAAGGAAGGTCCTTACGGGAGAGAACACCAGGGAAAGTCTTGTTGTTTTATTTCTCAGGCCAGAAGCAACACGAGAGCAAATGTGGCTGCCGTCATGAGCCGTCACCCGAGGAGACAGAGAGGCCGTGGACAGAAACAGGACTTCCCTCTGCTAGCATCTGGGGACACACGCAAACCGAGGAAACACCAGAGGAAAAGGGGAGGCAAAGAAGAGAAACATGGGTGGTGGGTGGGGGCACGACAGTCAAAGGAAACACGGGGCTCCAGTGCCTCCTGCCATGTCTGCCCCACTCCCCGTGGCGGGAAGAGGGTTGGGGAGGCAACCACGTCCTGAGAAACCCCCTGAGTCTCCCAGGTTCCCGAGGGAAGGGACTGACTGGGCAGACCCTTGTCCCGGCCACAGAGGCCTGCCAACAGCGGGCAGCCGGGCTGATGTCTGCCTTCTCCCGGAACCCGGAGCCTGGAAGGGAGCCTGCTCAGCCGCGGAGCATGAGGTGCTGTGCTGCCGACCCCGTGCGCATCTCCGCCGTTCCTCCGTGACGGGGCCATGGCTGCCATGGTCTGGGCACCAAAGGCTGAAGCAGGAAGGAAGGGCAGCGGGGACTGCACCCTCCTGCACATCTCCGTATCCAGAGCAAGGCCTCCCCCGGGCCCGGGGCACCTCCTTTTGCTTGGAACCTGTCCTCTCTGCCTGGCACAGACTGGCTGCTCCTGGTACCACCAGCGGGAGGGGGGACTCAGTGATGGAAGCAGGGGCTCCTGGGTTTGCATCCTGAGGGCAGTGCGCCACAAGGGCAGGCCATCCGCGTCCTCACTGCAGGGACACGGACACTCAGCCGAGTCACAGAGGACATGCTGCCCCATCACCCCTTTACGCTGACAAGCTGTCAGGAAAGTGAAAGGGTGGTACTTTGAATGGGAATCACATGCGGGGGATCCGGGAGGAAGCAGAGGTGAGGGGCGACTGCGGCCTTCCTGCTCCGGTCTCCCCAGGGTCAGAGGAAACGGGCCACGCTCTATGCCCAGCCAGTAGTAGGGGTCAGTGCTGGGGCGGCCATTGTCCTTGGTGGGGCTGGGAGGGGAATCCAGCCCCAGTGGGTCCAGGAGTCCCTGAAGGAGGGACGGCGTCGGCGACTGGCTGAGGGAGTGAGGGCACAGACACTGGCAGAGGCTGAGCCTGTTCAAGGGCAGAGCCCTCAGGCGGGGCATGGGAGACTGGTCACATGACATCGTCACAGCACCGTCATCAGGCATGTGTCACTCGGAGACTTATGGCATAACCTTCTTCTCGGAATGTCCCCCTGCTCTCCCAACCAGGGAAGGTCATCATCTTTTCTTCTTCAAGATTTTTCTGTGGCTCTCATGCCTTTGGATTCTAATCTCAGGTTAAATTTCTCCAAGGGCCACACTGTTTTCTGAATGGGTCTCAGAACTCGCTGGCCTGGACTCCCCCTCCGACTCGCTGCAGGGCGTGTTGTCTCCACAGCCCCCTGAATCCACTCCCAGTGGAAGGCGCAGCACTCACTCTGCGGACGGTGACAGTGCTTCCCGTGACCTCTGCAGTAATGGTCCTAAGGGAGCTCCACCAAGACCCACTCACCTGCTCTCCTGACGCACACCCATGGTGGGCACTTCTTGGGCCTCCTGGGGGCCACGCTGGGCCAGGCTGGCCAGGGAGCTGTGCCCTGATGTCTCCTGAACCTTCTTCTGTTTCCCAGCCCAGGGACAATAGCCCACCCGCCTGGGGGAACGTGCCACGGCACAGGCTGAGTTTTGTGATTGCTTTACGATTGCTGGCAGTGGAGGTGACCACGGTCAGGGCTGGGCGCCCAAGCTGTGCGATAGAAAGTGGGTGTCTCTGGGCTGGGCGCCCAAGCTGTGCGATAGAAAGTGGGTGTCCCTTCGATGTAGTCCCAAGATGCACAAAACTGTGGGAACGTGACTCCCTCTGCATCTGGATGGGAGGAACTCGGCGCTTCAGATGTGAGGTGCCGGCCTCCGCTTGCCAATGCATGGTGAGGGCTCTCCCACCGGTGGTGCTGCGTGGGCTTCGAGCCATGCTACTCCCCGTGGCCCCTGCCCTCGCAGCCCCTGCAGCAGGGAGGAGCAGGGGCCACCGCACGGGTCTGGCTTGGCCGTGCCACTTGATTGCTCTGAGCCTCAGAACCCTCCTCTGTAGTAATAGGGATAGTGGCACCTTGCTTTCTCGAGTCTCGCTGAATAAAAGAGAGAGTGAGGTGAATAGCCTGGTGCAGAAGGCACTCAGCAAATGCTGGCAGCTGCTGCCATCTGCCCCACTCCCTCCCAAGGTGACAGAGCCCGGGGAGAACGACCCAGGCAGAG